ATGTGGACTTTTGGATGTTAAATTCATGAGCAGTAAATATTGTGCTAATTATCAGTATTGAACCACAGAAAGCAAGGCAGATGCAAGCCTTTAAAATTGTGACGTTTTTTATGGGTTAAAAAATTGTAACAGCAGCTGCGCAGGGGGGCTAGACACATTTTTTGTCGGGCCCCAAGATTCCTGGCAGCGCTCCTGCCTTTGAGTAACTCTGGTCTGTTCGGTCACTGCTGCCATCTGCTGGGTGAATCTGCTGTTCACATACCATTAGAAACATTTTCTTATCACAGACAGCGCCCTCTGGTGGATGTTGGTAAAACTGCAGTTGCAGCTCTGAGTCAGATTGTTGAGTATCGTCATTGTCTCACTTCCTCCCTTTAATTATTAATATAAAACAGACGACTTCAGCAGATGAACTGGGGGGGTTTGATGCCCCCGTGCCACAGCAGCAGCACAGCGCCCCCCAGCTGCAGGAGGTCAGTCCTGACCAGCCGTCTCTGAGCCCGGAGGAGCTGCTGCTGGCTGTCAGCAGGATCAAGCAGGAGAGATCCGACACGCCTCCGGCTGAGGAGAGCGGAGGAGCGGAGGAGGCCAGGTGAGAACCCCCCAAGGAGGAGAGGGGGAGGCGGTTAGGGCGCTGATGTACCCAGATGTTAGCAGAGCTGATCCTTGCTGTGTCTCCGTCAGAGCGGACGTGGAGCTGCAGTCCTCCAGGAGCGGCGCGCTGTGCTACCTGAGCGCAGGAGGCGGTCTGGTTCCGGGGCTGCAGTCGTACCTGCTGGCCGGCGCCGGGCGGTCCAGTCCGGGAGGGTCCAGCGTCCCCACTGACTCGCCTCCCTCCCAACCGCCAACCGAGGAGGAACTGGAGGAGGATTACTATGGCAACGCAGTTCATCCGGGACTGTACCAGCACATCTATGGTCACACTGGAAACCCTTACAGTGAGTTCATGGGCCCGGTCCAGAACTGACTGGATCGGTTCTGGACCGGGCCAGTCCAGAACAAGCTGGCGCCATCCAGTCCAGGATTGCTGGGGCATCTGGTTCTCTGGTCACGCTTGGACATTTTGTGTCAGTCTCTGCTGTCTTTCACAACCAGCTGGGGGCCGTAGACTGAGGGGCCCCAAACCTTTAGAACCGTAGACTCAGGGGCCCCAAACCTTTAGAACCATAGACTCAGGGGCCCCGGACCTTTAGGGATGTTACGGTGAGATCTGCTCCGTCTTTCTTGGTAAATATTTAGTTGTTCCTCTCCCCTCTTGACTTTAACGGTCTAGTTCAGGAAAAGCTGGAGCTGCTGCCCCTCCCATTGGCTAATGAACGCCGGCCCTGCGTTCTGGTTGGCCGGGACAACATGGCTCTGCCCGCCAGCCTGATCAGCCAGATCGGCTACCGGTGCCATCCGTCGCTCTACGCCGAGGGGGATCCTGGAGAGAAGGTGGAGCTGGTGGCAGGTGCGTTGCCATGGTAACAGCATCATAAGGAAGTCGGCGTGTCACGTGACCTGTTGACATCTTCTGGTACGTTCAGGTTCAGGTGTGTTCATGACGAGAGGTCAGCTGATGAACTGCCACCTTTGTGCCGGGGTCAAACACAAGGTGCTGCTCCGGAGGCTGTTGGCCACGTTCTTCGACAGGTGAGACCAGAACCAGGACCAGGAGCAGGACTAGAACCAGGACCAGGAGCAGGACTAGAACCAGAACCAGGACCAGGCTTAGAACCAGAACCAGGACCAGGAGCAGGACTAGAACCAGAACCAGGACCAGGAGCAGGACTAGAACCAGAACCAGGACCAGGCTTAGAACCAGGACCAGGAGCAGGACTAGAACCAGAACCAGGACCAGGATTAGAACTAGAACTAGGACCAGGACCAGGAGCAGGACTAGAACGAGAACCAGAACCAGGACCAGGATTAGAACCAGAACCAGGACCAGAACCAAGACCAGGACCAGAACCAGGACTAGAACCAGGACCAGGATTAGAACCAGAACTAGGACCAGGAGCAGGACTAGAACCAGAACCAAGACTAGGAGCAGGATTAGAACTGAACCAAGACCAGGATTAGAACCAGAACCAGGACCAGAACCAGGACCAGGAGCAGGATTAGAACCAGGACCAGGATTAGAACCAGAACCAGGATTAGAACCAGAACCAGGACATCATGAATCTTGTCTCATCTTTGTTGTTTCTGTTTCTCAGAGAAATTTTGACTTTGTGTTTTAATATTCCTGCAGATCCATTAGATCTTATTCATCTTATTCAGACATAAACTCTGATTGGCTTATTTTGGTCTCCATAGAAACACCCTGGCCAATAGCTGCGGAACAGGGATTCGCTCGTCCACCAACGATCCGAGTCGGAAGCCTCTGGACAACCGAGTGTTAAACACGGTCAAATGTAAGAATGTCAGCAACTAACTGCTGCAGCTGTTCTGCCTTCTTCACACATTGAAGCTCCTCTCCCTCCTCTTCCTCCTCTCCCTCCTCTTCCTCAGTGTACTGTCAGAACTTTGCTCCCAACTTCAAGGAAAGTGAGATGAACGTCATTGCTGCTGACATGTGTACAAACGCTCGCAGAGTCCGTAAGCGCTGGCTCCCAAAGATCCAGTCGCTCCTCCCTGATGGCCTCCCTTCCTCTGCATCATCCCACCCCCGTAAGGGGAAGAGAGGAGGAGCAGGAGGAGCAGGAGGAGCAGGAGGAGCAGGAGGAGAGCGGCCCAGTGGCAGCCCCTTTGAGCTGGACTTGCGGCAGCTCAGCGCCTCCTACCTCAGCCTGGAGGCGCCGGTCTACACGGAGCGTCGTGAGAGGGAGGCGGCAGGGGAGAAGGAGAAGGAGGCCCACCTTCCTCACCTGCAGTTCGCCGGCTCTCGGGGAGGAGAAGGGGGGCCGGAGGAGGAGGAGGGGCCGATGGGGGGGGAGGCAGATGGGGAGGAGAAGCAACAGACTGAACAGCCCCCAGACCTGCCCCTCTCCCTGTCCTCCTCCCTGTCCTCCTCCTCCTCCTCCACCTCCTCCTCACACCCCTCCCCTCAGCCTGCAGAGTCCGCCCCCCCTCACAGGGGATTGGCTGACACAGATATGAGGGGGGATGGGCCTACGGAAGACAGCCAATAAGCATCCTAATGCATCTGCCTACCTGTCTGTAAATAAAACAATAGCTACCTGGCTCCACCTCTCCGTCTACCTCCCAGTCCACCTGTGTGTCTCCACCTGTGTGTCTCCACCTGTGTGTCTCCACCTGGGGTCTTCCTGTTTGGTCACATATTTATTCACTTGCCCCACTTTTCAGCCTTGACTCTGTCTGTCTACCTCTGATCTTTTATTTGTCCTTCAGTTCATCCACCTCTACCTCACTTCCTGTCCACCTTTCTCTCCCTCTACCTCACTTCCTGTTCACCCGTCTCTCCCTCTACCTCACTTCCTGTCCACCCGTCTCTCCCTCTACCTCATTTCCTGTCCACCTGTCTCCCCCTCTACCTCACTTCCTGTCCACCTGTCTCTCCCTCTACCTCACTTCCTGTCCACCTGTCTCTCCCTCTACCTCACTTCCTGTCCACCTGTCTACCTCTGCTCCTGTCTGTCCACCTGTCCGTCTGCTTGGCTCTGCTGCATGTCGACAGCCTTCTGCAGTCCAGCACACAGGCCCATAGCAACAGGACTGATGAAGATGATGATGACTATACTCTTTGATGATGATAATAAAGCTTGTTGATGCTCAGGTTTCTTTGAGTCGACCTGAGAAACTCGTGTGTGACTGTTTATTCAGCCGTGTCCCTCTGGGCTCTGGAGTAAAGACGGTTTGGTGGAGAGTGGGAAACCTCTTCATTAGACCCCGATTAGAACCTTCATCCACCAGGAACCTTCAAAGAGTCAGTGTGGATGGTGATGCTGTGGGCAGGAAGGATCTTCAGCAGCAGTCAGCGTTGCAACAAATCAGAAGAAGCTTCTGACTGAAGACTGTTTGTGACCTTCGTGCTAACAGCTCAATTTCCAAGCAGCAGAAACGATTTTCCATAGCAACATGTCCGGGATGAAACCATCAGGTGTTAGCTAGCTGCTAATCCTCCTCCTGGGTTTTGCTGGTCCTCTTTAAATTCTCTTTTGCTCCTATGGGATTTGGGGTCAAAGTTCAGGTATTATTTGAGCTTTGAGATTGTCATGGTTACATATCATAATTGACAGTAAATAAGTGAAAAGCACTAAACAGAATTATGAAATAAATTCTAAGTATTTAATAATGAATAATAACAGTTTATTACTACATCTGTTTGAGTTGTAATAATTAGACAAAATATGTGAATACTAACTTTTATTTAGGAAATGCATATATTTGTTCTCATAAATTCTAGCTTATTCATTAAAAAGCTTTTATTTTATTTGATGTGTTCAAAACAAACTAGGATCGATTAAATGAATCTGATCTCTGCAGTGGAGAATTCCAGGCTCTCCGATGCTGCATGCTGGGAAATGTAGTTTGGTTCACGGCGCCACTCTAAAACCAGAAATATTAGCCAGCCAATCACGGCAGCCCAGTTATACTAGTAGCTAACCACAGCACTTCAGGCAAATTACCGACCAATCAAAAGCATAGCAACAAATCATACGTAATAAAAACTTCATAGCCAATCACAGCGTCTCATCCATGCCACTGGCCAATCAATTCACAACAACACGCATGATGCAGTTTTGCACAGCGCATGCGCATAGTGTGGACAGCTGATAACTCATCTATTATGCTACTTGGCTGTTAAATAAAAATCCAGCAGAGGAGCTTCTGGATCCGCCGCTGGACCACCGGAGCGCCGAAAATACAAAGTAAACACGGCTGTGAGGGTTCTGGTGCCGGGGTTAAAGGGCGGAAGGTGCGGATGGTACGGGCCGTGGTGTCGAAGGCTGCTGGCCGCTCGGCGCCTTCAGACAAAGCTCAGCTAACAGCTAATAAGCTAGCATGCTAAGAGACTAGCGGCACGGAGCGGGAACATCCGCAAAGATTTGAGTTCTGACCCAAAAGGCCCGGTGACAAAGACTCTCTTAACCCATAAAAAGTCCACGTGGTTGTTAACATACACGTTCCTAGTCCGTCCACCGCCCCATGGGTCTGCCTGCAGCTCTCCGGTAAGGAGCAGCACTCGGTCTGCTAGCAGCAAGCCATTAGCTGAGGCTTGCCCGCCATCTTTTCTGGCTCGGTAGGAAGATGTTTCGGTCCAAAGAACGAGCAGAACCGAGACCCTGCGATTCCCATTGCAACATCATAGACTGCAGTTAGCAGAACACCTGCACGGCTGAGTGAAGAGGAGCGGGTGGAGCCGCTGTTTGCTTGGATGTCTGCGGTGTAGAGGGCGCTAGCTGTTAGCTACCATTAGCGGGATAACGGCAGAAGCGTGCAGGCAGCTGGACTCCCGGGAACAGCCTGGGTCGGTACTGGAGGTTTGGTATGTTGGTTTGGATCGGTACCTGGAGATACGGTTGGACCCTGAAGGTCTGGTTGGACTCTCGGTCGGACATCTGGTTTGGGTCGGTACCTGGCAGGCGGATTTCAATTTTTTTGCATTGAGATGTTCTGATTGAGCTGCCAGTTTGGGCTGAACTCGGTTCTGGTTCTGAATTGTTCTGTTTGTAAGTGGAAGCTATGGGAGTGAATAAATGGTTCTGATAAGTGAGTGGTTCTGGTAAACTAGATGTTTCTTTAGTTTCCAGGTCTGACAGAGTGTGGAGCAGTTTGGGTTTGGATCAGAACTTCCACATTAGAACCTGACCCTGAGCCATGGTTCTGGATGGAGGAAAGGATTGAATGTTGTAGGACAAACGGGTCGTTGGTTCTGGAACATCAGACAGGTTCCTCTGCTCAGTCAAACAAAGCCACTCATAACAGGGTTTGGTTCTATCAGAACCTCCTGTGGATGGTCAGAGCTGTTCATCTGGATTTTCAGATTGCCCCGTAAGCAGATGGTCTGTTTGGGTCAGGTTGTCCTGAATTATTCACCTTTCTAGTAAACGTGGTCAACCCGGCGTCTCCCCTGATTGGCTGCCGAACCCGGCGTCTCCCCTGATTGGCTGCCGAACCCGGCGTCTCCCCTGATTGGCTGCCGAACCCGGCGTCTCCCCTGATTGGCTGGACCAGAGCAAGGTGCTCAGGAGCTGCTGGTTCCGGTGTTCTATCAGATCGTTACACTGTTAGAATAGCATACATGCAGTGACTACGCATTGCATGCGCATTAAGAGTTCCGACCTTCAGAGGATCTGTCGGTTCAGCATACGCGACAAGTATGATGAAAATAAGTCAATTGTTTTCAGTGATAACTAGATAGATATACATGCATTGTCATGGTTTCAAGGTGTATTTAAAGCAGGGACTAGCTAACGCTGCAGTCAACTGCAACACGCTGTGTAAAACTGGCCTTCCTGCTGCTTGGTGACGGTCTGACTAGTTACCCGCTGAGTCAGGATGTCATACAGCCGTTAATAACAAAGTGTGACCATCTACGTCATGATGTTGCTGATTAAATAAAATCATATGGTAATGGCAGTGTATGACCACCGGTTCTCCAGTGTTGGACTGGGCCGATCCATCTCTGGATGGTTCTGTTGTGTCTCTGGGTTTCAGAATCAGATTTGGGTCGATCAGATCAGAACCGGGTTCCCATGCTTTTATATTTATGCTCTGCTTTGTGTTGCCGTGGTAACCAGGAGCGGCCGAACACATCCGTTCTGAAAATACTCGGTGTTTGAATCTGAAGCTTTATTTTAAATGAACAGAACAGTAAAGGCCCGGTTCTGACCGAGTCGGGTTCTGACCTGTGCAGCTCAGTTAGAAATGCTTGCTGGTTCTGACCCAGTCCTTGCAGATCCCTGTATTCCAGCAGCAGTGGGTGTGTTTGGTCCGGTCCGGTCTGGTTCTGAGGTCCGGTACGGCCTGCTGCTCGTTCTGTGATGCGTTCACTGACCAGGTTTTCTGTGTAAAAATTAGTTTTGACAGAAACGCTCTCTGGCTCCAGATGATCCAGACGGATTATGATAACTGATCAAATCTACAGTTCAGATATCTGGATTGATAAATTGTGCGTAAGGCCCCTGCAGCTGCCCAAACAGCTGCCTGCATTAAATACTCAGAAGACACCTCAGTGTAGGAAGAGCACTGCATTATGGGAGAACTTACTGCAGAAATCTGGAAACTGCTGCATAACCCTGAGAGGTTCTGACAGTTGAATTATTCCAGGTGTCAGTGATGTCACTGACTGATATCTGCAGGAAAAAGCATCTACATTAAAAATATCCCAGATGTGGTAATTCATTTGCAGAAACCTTAAAAAGATTCCTCGAGTCAAACTTGCACTTCTAGAAATCTAACTTGCTTCATTCAGCAAGTCAAGATTTACTCAGATAGCTGCAAGTTGGTTTGCACCAATTCGGTCTGATAAATACAGTTACAACAACTAAAGCTAAAAAGTGTGTAAGCTCATTCAGAAAAATGTGTCAAACTAACCGATATGTTAATTACCACACAGGAACGTCACAGAGGGTTTTAACCATGAATACTGGTACCGGAAAGGCGAGGAGGGAGAGAAGCTAATGTGAGAGGGGGAAAAGATAAAATACTGTAGTTTCCCAGAAAAAACGGGAGACTTGACAGGTATGGGGATAACACAGGAATGATGACGGTCCATGGAGTTAATAATGAACATGTTTTGAGATGTTTTAGTAATAAGAATTGTGAATTTCAATAGAAAACGTAATGAGTAAGGAACAACAAATAGGACAGTTAGAAAACAGCTACTGACACGTCTTCATTAAATACTATCTGGGGGAGTTGTAGCCGAAATGTTCAACACAGGAAATGATTGCAAGAATGTTAGAACAGCTAAAGTCTGCTGTTAGTAATTACACCTCTGTTAAGGTGTCCATGCTTTATATTAAATTAGTCTGCATACATACATATTTACAGTAAACTTATCGTCAGTAAATCGGTTTTCATAGAGTTGAGCATAAATAATATATTTTATATAATTTGCTTGTACTGGTGAGGTCTGTAATTGAAAGAAAAAAACTGTGGCTGGTGAAATGTCTGAGTGGCCCATAAAAGATTTTCTCCACCAGAAATCTTTAATTTCCACCCCTGGTTATGACCAGTCAGAACAGGAAGTAAAATGTTCTAAATTTACTTTGACTAGTCATAATTTAATCATTTACCTGAAGTTCATTGTAGACAGGTTGAAGCTTCCGTACATCTTGATGGATATGTCCTAATTAATACTAGACAGAATAAAATTAACTCTTCATTCATCAACATGTTATAAAGTAATGTCAGATGTCGGCGGTGTGAAGCTGATTTTATGATCAAATGGTTTGCCATACAGAGAGTCTCTGTGATCTGGAGGTGTTGTTGTCACCAGGAGGCGGGGCTAACTGTGTGTGTGTGTGTGTTGCAGGTTGTGCGATGGGACTCGGTGTCTCTGGGGGGTCCTCTGAGCTGAAGCTCCTCAACTAAACACACACCCGAGCGCCTCTCACACACACACACACACACACACACACACACACCTGGGAGCCGCGTTTTCTCACCTCCAGGCCAGACGCTGCCGTCCCAAGGTGCATTGCTGCGTCGTCCACCATGTCGGACGCCCCTGAGGCTGCACCCGCCAGCCCCCCCACCATCACCAACCCGCCCCCCCCTGAGGTGTCCAACCCCAACAAGCCTGGCAGGTAGGAGGGGGTTGATCTCTCTCTCTGCCTCTCTGTCTCTCTCTCTCTCTCTCTCACCCCCCCTCTCTCTCTCTCTCATCCCTCCATCAGGAAGACCAACCAGCTCCAGTACATGCAGAACGTTGTGGTAAAGACTCTGTGGAAGCATCAGTTCGCCTGGCCTTTCTACCAGCCGGTGGACGCCATCAAGCTGTGTCTCTGGGTAGGTCATCGCCTTGACGACGGCCCTGCGACCCCGCATGCCCCCGCTGACCCTCTCTGTCTGCAGGACTACCACAAGGTGATCAAGAACCCCATGGACATGGGAACCATCAAGAAGCGGCTGGAGAACAACTACTACTGGAGCGCCAGCGAGGCCATGCAGGACTTCAACACCATGTTCACCAACTGCTACATCTACAACAAGGTAGGGAGCGGCACCCCCTGCTGGCCGGACGGAGGGGGAGCGGCGCCCCCTGCTGGCCGGACGCTGACCCCTTGGCTTGTCTCTGCAGCCCACAGACGACATCGTCCTGATGGCTCAGGCCCTGGAGAAGATCTTCCTGCAGAAAGTGGCTCAGATGCCCCAGGAGGAAGTGGCCCTGCTGCCGCCGGCGCCCAAAGTGAAGAACAAGAGCAAGCAGCCACCGGCCACCACAGGTCAGACGGGGAGACGTGGTGATGCTGCTGGGCCGCGACGTCCAGCTCTGCTGTGGCTAACACTGCTAACACTGCCAGGTGTATTATAAGCCTGGCAGCCCACCATGCTTTACTAGCCCACCGCCAGACTAAGCGTTGCTTGTTTATATTTTTAAGAAAATAATAAAAAAATGTTTTTTTTTTTTTTTTTTTAAGCTGGATTGAAAGTGTCTCTGTTGCTTTGAGCGTTCGACTGGCGGAGCAGATTTATCCTAAAAGACGTTTATAATAGATACGTCTATACTTTATGCATTTAAAGCCGGGAGAGCGGACCAATCACGCCGCTGCCCGTTGCCTCGCGCGCTGCTTGGTCTCTGAAGTTTACCTCAGAGCAGATC